TAATGTAGGGGTCTAAATAACTACCAATACTATTTTGGGGGTTCCTTGCTATAACTATGGTGCAATATACCCCAAAACCCTATTCTGATTATGAAGGCCCCTATAATAGGGGTTAGGGAATCCTATTCTAATTACTAAGGCCCATAGATTACACCGCGACTCGTACCACTTCCAATGAGCACGAAGCCCCCGGCATCGAGCAACCTACCCTCAGCCCTGGGTTAAGGCTTGAGGTTTAAGGCTTTAGGGTTTTAGGGTTTTAGGGTTTAGGGTTTAGAATTTAGGGTTTAGGGTTATGGTTCAAGGTTTTAGGTTTTGGGGCTTAGGGTTTAGAGCTATGGTTTAAGGTTTTAGGGTCAAGGGTTTCGTAAGCCGTCCGCAAGATCGTGTCAGTAGTCATCCTAAACCCTCACGAAGCTCATAATACTGGGTTGCTGTTAGGGAACTTAGAATTCAGCTACTGTAATAAGGAAACCATATATTATTTCCTACATATCCCTAACTAAAATTAGTTTCCTCAACAGCAACCCAGCATAGCTTGAACCCTTTCGCAACCTCGAGCCGCCTATGCTACACCCTGAACCTGCTGAACCCTTAGCCCCAAAACCCTGAATGCCCAAAGACTCCGAAATTCCCCAAATCATGGAATATTCTCATATTATTGTAAGGTTCCTACTGATTTCAGGGATTTCCTAAACCCTAAACCCCTAAGGGGTTTTGGAGTCTCGGAATGCAGACCCTAAGCCCAAAAATGCCGATTTTTTGGAAACCTCGGGTCGCTTGAGGCCGGCACTCCGCGCTGAGAGGGCGCCTCCTGCACAGCAAGCTCGCATGTTTAGGGTTTGGCTTTGGGGGGTTTAGGGTTTAGGATTTTCGGGCTTGGGGGGGTGGTTTCTCAACAAGTTTTCATACGCTTTTTACAGAGTTGAATATGGTTTGGGTTCAGAGTTGATTGAACTCTAAGCTCCAAGTTCGGTCGTAAGTAGAGGTAGAGGCATGAAGAGGACAGTCTGAACAAGTATACATGAAAATATTGAAGACTCTGCCTGTAGGCGGCTTGCGCTATGAAGGTGACCTGAGTCCTTTCCAAGTAGGATTCCTTGACTAATGCCTACAAGGGTTGCTGGTCAAAGGTGCAGTGCGGCGTAGTTGAGCAATATACCCCAGATCAGCCGAAACGAACTTGATAGTCTCAGGAGCGCATTGGGCTCCCCGGGTACAACATAGAGTGGACAACATTTCGGAAAATTCAAAGCCATGAACCCTAAGCACTAGGATCCCCAAGCATAAGCCCAGTGGCTCAATGGCCTGCCGACGCTTAGCTGACTTTATCACCTCTTCCCAAACCCGAAGCCCCAAACTCACGGTTTAGGGTTTAGGGTTCAGGGTTTGGGGGCGATGGAGGGTTCCCAAAGCTGCAAGGCTCACATGAAGGTCTCGAGGACTGTCTCCACATGTTCAGGGCCATGTCGACGCGTTCCCTGACCTCAAGCCTCAAACCAAGCAACCCAAACCAAGCAAAGGAAAACCGAAAAGCCTGGTATCATTGATTCTTGCAATCCCCGGGCCCGATCGCGTCTATTGCTTTGAAGCCGAGGCCGCGACTCTAAACCCAACTCCTGAACCTCCTAAAAACCCTGCAAACTCTGAACCGCAAACCCTTAGCCCCAAACTCCGAAAAATCTTTAAAAACCCGATGCCCTAACCCTCACCCCTAAGATACAACCAAAACTCCTGGTCCCCGAAAGCCCGATCTAAACCCCAACTGAGATAGGGGCCTTAATAATTAGAATCGGCTTTTGGGCTCCTTTATAGTATTATAGTAATAGGGAGCCCCCAAAACCCTATTAATATTTGGGCAAGTATCCCCCATAAACCCTAACCCCTAAACCCTAACCCCCTAAGCCCTAAACCCGAAACCCCTAAACCCTAAACCCTTAGTAAGGCCCCTACATTAACCCAACATCGTTTCTCGAAGTGTGGAGGTCGGTGCGGTGCTTCAGGGTTTTCGGTTTTGGGCTTCATACGGTTGATGATGTAAATCCTACATTACCCATAATAAGGAAGATACAAGAATTTCCATAGTTTAGGGTCCTTAAGGTAGTGCAGGATTTATATCATCAACAGTACCTTTTGCGGGTTAAGGTCTTTAGGGTTTCCTGTTGGGTCTTGGGTTTAGGGTGTTTCAGTTTTCAGGGTTTAGAACTGTGCAGTTGGTGCCGCCATAGCTAGTCGGATACTTCCTTTCAACATGATTGTGGTCCTAATCCCTCCATAGCCAGAGATATTAAACCCTAAACCTTACAGTCCCTACATAGACCCTAACTGTGAATTCGACTTCTTCGATATTCCGGTTCTTTCCAACCTCGCAGGACTGCCTAGCGCAACAGATGCGTGGGGAGTTGACGCCGCAGCGGTTTCTTGCCTTGGGGTTTAGGGCTTTAGGGTCTAGGCTTTTGGGCTTTGGGGTTAGAGCTGTCTTTAGTTTAGGTTCTGAGGCTTGAGGTTTTGTTGGGTCCAGGGGTTCGGCGTTTGGCCTGGTGCGTCTTTCAGTTCGGGTTCAGCGGTGCAGCGCTTCGAGGCTTAGGTATTTCTTAGGTGTTCATCTGCAGACGTAGGGTCCAGTGTTTTCGATTGTCATATGTGGGGGCGTTCTACAGAGGGACTTTCAGGTACATACCCTAAACCCTAAACTCTAAACTCTAATCCCTAAACCCTGCTAGCCGATGCTGAGATTCGCGAGCAACTTCATTGCAAGGCTTGGGGCGTAGCTTTACCGGTTCAAACCATTAGACGTTCAGAGGCCCAAGTCCTCCAAGTACTTATAGAATAATGTATTTAGGGTTTCGGGTATAGCGTTTAGGGTCTAGGGTTTAGGGAGAATGTACCTCAGACTTTGTTCTAATTTTTAGGGCGCTAAAGGCCCCCATCTTATTGAACATGCACCGCTGGTTGCAACAGAGGCCTTAGACTGCACCGCAACTTAAGCAAGCGCGGTATGTGCTCTTATGTCAGTTTCTAAGGACGCAGACGCCCCTTGTGCGTCTGCAACCGCCAGAGTTGCATGAGGAGGAGGTAGAGGAGGAGCTTGCGCCCGGGCTCTGGGTCGAGGGGTTAGGGTCTGTATGGATCTTTGCATTCCACGTTGGGACCGCCGGTTCATCAGCATGCGCAGCTGGCCCCAGTAGGAAAAATCTGGCTTTCGTCACATCCTCGTCTGCAGGGGTTCGGCAAGCGACTTTAGAGGCTTGTATCTGACAGTGGGAGCCTAAACCCTAAACCCTAAACCCTAAAAGCCCTATGGTGGGGTTGGGCAGAACTCCGACTTCCGCGTTTCACCTAGTTTGCAAGCCAAGTTGCCCAAGCACCTTGAGTCTCTAACACCCTAATCCTTAGGGGTACTTAGAAATAATTTTTAATCTTTGGCTACTTTAAACCCTAAGAAGCAGCTAAAATTATGATTTTTGCTAGGGGTCTAAGTTCAGTATAGAATCTCCGAGCTGTGTCGCTGACGCACTTTCAGCAGGCATTTCTTCGGGCTGTGGGTCCATAAACCCTAACTAAACCCTAAACCCTAAACCCTAAACTCCATAAGCCCTAAACCCTAAACCCTATAAACCCTAGAGCCACATCCGGGGATGGTTTCGATTTTGCGGCTTTGCGCTGAAAACCCGCAG